AAACTTATGTTTTTTTCAATAAAACACCCTGTATTTTATTTTAAATTTAAAATCTGCTTCACTTCCACATCACAACAATGTCAAGTTTTAATATGTTATACCGGGTATTTAAAAAGATATAACCAATATTACCTGAAAATCGTATCAAGTTTAACTCCCTATAACTATAGAGAACAAACTATAGAGAAATATCCTTATTAGAGGTAATACATAAAGTGCTCGCCATACTAATTAAAAAACGATTAGAAATATAATATATTATGTAGAGAAGAATCTAGAAGAATATCAGGCAGAATTTCGGAAATAAAGATAAATAATAGATCAAATTTTTATGCTAAAATAAATCCTGATCAATTGCTATGAATACAACATTTCAGCACCAGTACTTTTCATTGATAACAAAGCCGCATACGATACAATAGACAGAAATAAATTAATAGAAACTCTAAAAGAATTCCAAGTACCAGAAAAAATTATAAGATTGGTAAAAATGATAATTAGACAAACCATTTATGCTGTGAAATGCAACGGTATCGTCTCAGAAGATTTTGAAGTGAAGAAAAGTGTTCATCAAAGAGACCCGTTGTCTACATTGCTATTCAATACAGTTCTAGAAAAAATTGTAAGTGGTAGTGGGATAAATAGGTTTGGTAATATTTTATACAAGGAGCACCAATGCATAGCATACGCTAATGATGTGGTTTTTATTGCAAGAAATGTAAAAGAACTGAAAATATATCAAAAAACTGCTTCGGGAAAGCTCTAAAATGGGACTGAAAGTTAATATTAAGCAATTCCAAGCGTCCAAAAGCAAGCATCCTTTAAATTGGAGGTGGAGGATGGATTAGTTACTCTTATTGATCACAAAACTGTAAAAAAACTGAAATCAACCTTAGACTGACCAAGAGCAACAGGTATGCTAGAGTTAAAAGCAAAATAATTAAGGCCAAAGATATATTTTGTAATACACAAATAAGAGTATACAAAACTATAATTAGACCCAAAATGCTATACGCTGCCGAGACATCGACTATGAACAAATCTATACAGAAAAAAATAAAAGCATGGGAAAAAATAATACTGCACAGAATATTTAGTGAAAAAGTAGTAAAGGGAGAATGGAGAAGACAAACTAATGCAAACTATACTATTTGTATTCTAACCTTACAATAACAAAAGTGGTAAAAGAACTCGGACTAGAATGGCTTGAACATCTAGAAAGAATGCAAGGTAATAGGCTAGTTAAGAATATTTATTGGGGAGTACCTAAAGGCAAAAAAAGAGAAAGACCAAGAAAGGAATGGAGAGATGTACTGATGAAAGATGTTAGAGAGATGTGAATCAGAGATTGGAAGTTGATAGCTAAAAATAGTACACGATGGAAATTATCCATCCAGCAAGGGGTCTAAAAGGCCTGTTACCACTGTACATATATACAAACTTTCCAACGGAGTAGTTTATCAACAACTTAAGATGATACTAATGACACATTCTGATTAGTAGTCGATAACAGTTGATTTAGATATACTCCTATCAACGGTAACATACCATAGTAAACAAATAGATTTAAGAGTTATTAAAAAAAAATAAAATGAATAGTAAGCAGCAAAAACAAAAATATAGCTAATAAAATATGGTCATTTGCCTCCTGTAGAAGTTTTGTATAAATCCCATCTACATGCTATAAATTATATATGAGACAAATGAGTTTTTTGTCCATTTAATTTTATTTTCAACCACTTTTTTTCAATCTTTTCTGATTTGTTGTCTTCTTAAATTATAGCTATCGGTTGTGCTTCAGATTAAGAAAAGACCAGTTTTGTTTCAGACTCACAAAGGAGGACCTTAAACAGTTTATACCAATTTTCTACACAGTTGCAGAATTATTATAATGGCTTTATTAAAATGTTTTCGCCATATATTGAACTAACCTTTATTCTATTTAATATGATATTGTCGATGATCGAAATCAAGCAAATATTTCCAGTATGATTCCATAGATCGCTTAAAACTGTGGAGTGCAATGATGGAGTTAGGCGTACCAAAGAAGCTGACCATGATTGCGCGAATGTGTGTCAACAATCCCTTTGCACAAATTAGAAAAGGAGGCAAAACTTCAAAGGCTTTCGGCATAAGCACCGGGCTCAGACAGGGAGACCCGCTGTCTCCATTACTATTTAACCTAGCATTGGAATACGCAATGCGAAAAATCCATACCAGAGTCAAACCAGATATAACTGCCAGAGGAGCAAAGATTATTCTCGCATTTGCAGATGATGTAGATGCAGTAGCACAGACAACACTGAAAGTTAAGGATATAGTATCGAACTTTGAAGAAGCAACACTAAGCGTAGGCCTGAAAATAAACGAAGAAAAAACTAAATACATGATCGTATTAAAAAAGGAACGACAATAAGACAAAACATTACCATAAACGATCATAATTTTGAGATGGTCAAAGAATTCAAATACCTAGGAGCAACAATTACCAGTGAAAACACAGGAGAACGGGAGGTTAAAATACGAATACTGGCGGGGAATAAATCATTCTTTGCCATTCAACATCTAATGAGGTCAAAGCTTCTCTCAAGACGTGCCAAAATCCAAATGTACAAAACCATAATACGACCAGCAGTGACATATGGAAGTGAAACATGGACATTGAGAAAGAAAGAAATTAATAAGCTATTAGTATGGGAACGCAAAATCCTGCGAATTATATGTGGTCCTTGCAGGGACAGCGTGACAAATGAATGGAGGAGCAGATACAACAATGAAATAGAGACTCTCTTCGGGAAAGGAAACATCGTAAGATACATAAAAGCCAATAGATTAAGATGGGCAGGCCACGTGGTACGGAGTGATGACGACAGACTGATTAACAATGTGTTTTGGGAAAGACCAGATGGTAAAAGATCGACAGGAAGGCCTAGAAAAAAGTGGAAAGACGCTGTCAGGGAAGACCTGGAGAAGATAAAAGTAAGGCCATGGGAAATAATAGCACAGGATCGGAATCAATGGAAGGCAATAGTTAACGCGGCAAAAATTCACGAAGAGTTGTAAAAGCCAATAATGATGATGACATATTTCCAGAAAAAAAGCGTTTTAGGGAAATTTAGATTTAGACGATAATATTATTCATCAAGATGCCAGTCATTTTTGTGTAGAATCATTAAAAAAGAGTTGTGAATTTAAAAAAGGGAGTTAATAGGTTAGCCACTATTTAGAATGCTAATTATATAATTCTTTGCCCCGAGAAGAGGGTCACTAAGGCCGTTCAAAGTCCGAAAAGGAGCACTTAAGTTCCGAATTGAATATCACCTAGGCTTTTCGCTGTTTTTAAACAGAAATATCCAGATAGTGTTGTAAGTGCCAAATTCTATCAGAAAGTATTTTTAAAGGACTTTTCAAATTTATCGTTTAAAAGACCAAGATGTCGCTGCATCAAATAAACCCAAGACAGAGTTAGAACTATATCATAGAAAAAGCTTTCTTCTTCTTCTTCCTTTACCCTATCCGTTTCGGACGTTGGCTATTATCAAGGCTATTTTGACTTTGTTTACGGCATCTCTTAACAGTTCGGTCGATGTTAGTCCAAACCATTGTCACAGGTTATGCATCCGTGAGTGTCGTCTTCTTCCCGGTCCCCTCCTTCTATCGATTCTTCCTTGGACTATTAACTGTAGCAGCCGGTACTTAGTATGGCTCATGACATGTCCGAAGTACTCAAGCTTCCGTTTCTTTACGGTAAAGATTATTTCTTTGCTTTTGCAAAAATGCTTTAAGTACAATAAAAAAGGTGCATCTGACAGCACAATGCCTAATAGTGTAGTGTATTGTGTGGTAATTGACCTTCAAAAGATATTTCTTTTTTCGAAACTCATACATAGCGATATTTAAGGCAATTATCTTGCTACAATTTTTATATTCATATTACCGATACCAATGGCGCTATTATAAGTGTACGGCATGAGGGCCAAACACGGAAAGGAGGGAGTCAGATGACTTTCTATATATTGCAAGCCTTAAATACAGGTATGTTGCCGGCTTACAAGTAAAAACTTGTTGTACGGAGTGACAACTGCAGTGGTCAAGTCAAAAACTGTATATTGGGTTTCTTGTACATTTACATAGTATCTTTGGGCCTATTTTTTGAGCCTTAGAGTCTGTAGAGCATAAGTTCTTGATATCCGGTCATAGCTTTTCTGCAGCACGCCCGGACTTCGCAGTTTTAGCAAAGAGATCTAAGTTAGCAAAAATGCAAACTGTTAAAGATGTGGAAAACGTAATTAGATCAGCCAGTCCATCAAGATTATTTCGAGTGCTAAGCATTGACGAAGCATCTGCAGTGTATATCAATACTAAATATTTAATGAATTCCAAACTGTCGTATTTCAAGATTGATAAAAACGAACCTGGCTACGCACTTACCAAGAAAAACTTTAGCGAACTGTATCGGTTTAACAAGAAATACAACGTCCTCAAGAAAAATATTTATATTGAATACATAGATTCTATGGAGCTTACTACTATACCAACAAAGGTTCCACTAGCAGAAATCAAAAAAAAGCTTAAGAAGCACGTTAGGGTTCATTAATGAAGAAAACAGAGATTTCTACTATAAAATACTCTGTGATGGCACTTAGATCTTTAAAAATAAAGCATACCAAGATCTCTTAGAAGTAAAACCTACCAATGGACTTAAATCTGTTTGAAAAAGTATATGGTTAACATGCGTTTTCTCTGTATCGTTTTTGTAAAACTGTACAAAAATTACAAAACCATCTATTTACATTAACTTGTTTGATTAAAACCCATTTTTTGAAAACAGTGCAGTTTTTTTACTTTTTCCAACAATTTTACTTTTGGCACTTAGATCTATTAGGTTTTCAGGTTTTCAATTGTATAGAGTTTCATAAACACTATTTGAAAATAAAATGTAAAACTTAATTAAAAACAACTAAACTAGCATTGAATTTTATTATTTTTTTTTATTTTAGGATAAAAACTGATGAAAATTTGTTTACATTTTGTAAAACCTCAGTAATAGAAGAAAATCTTAGGTTAAAGATCTTACAGTTGCGAGACCAAAAAGAAATCGAATTCGATGGGATGGTAGTACCAAACAGAGTCAGGGAAATTCCGTTTACAATCCTTAATCCATATATGAGACGAAAAGCTTCAGAAGAAAAAGGATATATTTCCGACGATGATGATACAGAGTACAAAGCACAATATAATTTTGGCAAAAAGCGCTTGAAGCAGGTATATCTTAGACTGTTTCATTTGTGTAAAAACACTGAAAATAATTTGGATTATGAAAGTGTTGTCAACGAGAACTACTTCATATATTTTCAGTAAGTATAGTTAATTATGAGTTGATTATAAGTATGTATAGCTGATTATAATGTTGACAAAATGTTATAATTTAACAAATGCAGTTTAAATTAATCGTTTTTTTAAGTCAATATGAAATGTGATTCGTTTCGACTCTTATTATGTGAAGTAAGTACCTTTATTGTAGGCCTTTAAAGGTTTTTTAACTTATAATAAAACACTAACAACTTGTGTTTTTCCCACTTACACAAAACTTGTGTAAATGATTATCACTACAGCTGTTTCGGTCAGAGTGCCTTTCTTAATTGATCTATTTTTGATAGGTGTTTACACTTTATAGTCTTTAACTGAATAAGGTGAGAGAGAAAGAACTGTTTGTCTCAAGTTGGCCATTCAGAATTATATCTGTATTTTTTAATTTGTTGATTTCCAAAGATTCTAATAAAGACAGTTTAATTAATTTTAAATGTGAGGAATTTGAAATTCGTGACTAAAAAATGATAATAGTCTAACTTTTGGCTCTTGTTGTTTTGTGTGTTGTTTGGCTGTGTTCTAAAAACTGGTGTTATTCCTTTCTTTTTTATGTCTTTGGCCACATTTGTTGATATCTTGCCTATATATTTAATCGAGCAGAAGGTCAAATTCGTAGAACTGGTGGAACTTTGTCAAATTGGTAAAACTAGTAGAACTCTTATCAGAACGTATAGCAGAACAAAAAAGGGCTTTAAATAATAGTAGAACAGACTCTACGTACGCACTTTACCTTCTAGAATATAATTATACTTTTAATGACGAATTTCAAATTCTTCGCATCCAAAATAAAAGCGTTAAGCTATCTTTATTAGAATCTATGAAAATCAACAAAATCAAAAATACAGACATAATTCTAAATGATTATATTGTTCTGATGCTGTTTTCTTGTGGCATTGTAAATTAATTACTATTAAACTGGGAATAAGCCACAATCAAAGATAAAAATATGTTTATTGACGTTTCAATTTCCACTTTGGAAATCGTTTTCAAAATACAAACAGTAAATTAAACAAATTTTGTTTTTGTTACATAGTGAAAAATTCTTCTAATAATTTAATTTTATCTGACTCATTTATATTGACAATTCAGACATACATTATGCATTTTAAAGTAGACCACTTTAAAATGATATTGCCAATATTGTTGAGTTGCGCTCCTGGGACGACTTTACTTATAAGATATTCATTCGACTACATGAAATCAACTTTAACTTGAGAATATCCGTCAGAAAAAAATCATAGCATGTAATTCGTCTTTAAAAAGACAAACACATGACATGATGACAGTAAAATTCTCCTGTTAGTGATTCCATAGTAAATTAAGAGGGAAAAACCAGGAAAAAACCTCATAATACTATCCCGACATTGTAAGTATTTGTTCGTGAATTTAGTTTACCTTCAACAAACATCAAAATTCTGATTTTATATGTTACGTTATTTAAAAAACATAAATGATGTATCATCTATATGTTACTGACTTACTAATACTGATATTTTCTTATTAATAACTTCCTCTTTCAATATTGGTAACCAGATCCTACTACATTCTGCCGAGGAATTTGCGACACAATTGGCCTCATTTAGCATAATTAGAGCCGCTTCTTTGATTTTTCTTTTTTTACCATCCGTTCCTTTTAGGACTACATTTGAATTATTCCATTGAACCCTATGTTCATTATCCGATGCGTGTTTACAGATTTGAGATCTATCAAATTCTCTATTTTTAATATAAGATTGATGTTCACTTATTCTAACATTTAATGGCCTTGATGATTCACCTAAATAAAACTGATCGCATTCACAAGGTATTTTATAAATGCAATTCTTTGTCCTTTCTTGTTCATTGTTAGGTTTGGTTTTGGACAAAGTAGATCTCAACGTGTTTGTTGTTTTTAATGTTGTTGAAATGTTGAATTTATTTCCTATCCTTTTAAGTTTTTCTGATAGTCCTTTTATGTACGGTACTGTTATTTTCCTCATATTATTCCTTGTGTATGCTGTAGGATCTCGTTCTAAGTTGTTCTGTTCTATTCGATCGATTGTTGAGAATTCCTTATTTCTAAACGATAAAGGATAATTATTTTTTAATAAAACAGATGTTAACAAATGTTTCTCCTCCAAGAACGAATTTTCGTTAGAACAAGTAATTTTGGCTCTATCGTATAAGGATTTAATTATTCCTTTTTTTACATTAATATTGTGATTTGATTTGAAATTTAAATACCTATTGGTGTGTGTTGGTTTTCTATACACCTGAGTCTCATATCTAGTATCGTTCTTAGAGATTAAAACATCCAGGAAAGGTAGCGTGTTATTATATTCCTTTTCCATGGTAAATGTTATTGTCTCTTTTTTATCGTTTATATCATTTAGGAATGTGTCCAACAACTTTTATCCATGAAGCCATATTGAGAATATATCATATACATACCCCCACCATACTGTGGGTTTGAAATTTTGTTTAGAAATGATATTTGTTTCAAAATCTTCCATAAATATATCGGCTAAGAATGGAGATAAACTAGAGCCCATTGCTAGACCAAAATTTTGTTTATAGAATTCATTATTTAGTTGAAAATATGTATTATCAGTACATAATGTTAATAACTCCATTATAGCCGATATGTTTAGTCTTGTTCTAGTTGCCAATGAATCATCACTCTCTAATTTTGTCTTGACTATACTTAAAGTCTTAATTAATGGCACATTCGTAAATAAACTATTTATGTCAAAACTTACCAAAGTATGGTTTGAATTAAATTCAATATTTGATAATTTATTTAAAAAATGTTGTGTATTTTTTATGAATGTGTCATTTTTATTTGTAAATGGTTTTAAAATATTTAATAAAAATTTTGATAGTTCACTACAAGGAGAATTCATGGTACTACAAATGGGTCTAAGTGGTATATTCGTTTTATGAATTTTCGGTACTTCATAAAAATGAGGAGTCTTACTGTAATGAGGTGTAATTAATCCTCTCTGATAACTTGTTAAAACATCTTTAAACTTGAATAAAGTTCTATATATTTTGTTTTCCAAAGACTTTGTTGAATCTTTTGTTAATTTTGTATAAGGTCCGTTTATTAATAGAACTTTAATTTTATTTTCGTATTGAATTTTATCTATTATTACAGTTGCATTCCCCTTATTTACTAAATGATCAGCTTGAAGACTTAAGACAAACAGTTTTCCGTTCCTCAACTTATTCGTTTAGAGACTATAAAGTGTAAAAACATACCAAAAATAAAGTGTGTAGAAGTGTTTAAAACAAAAGTTTTCGATGTTTTGTTGTTAGATTAAATAAATTTCTATCAAGTACCTGTCGAATTTATTATCTTTTTACATTCATCATTACATATAATAATATTCTTTGCTCACGTAAGCTTTGTTTAGGGTTTAGCAGCAGTAACAACAAATCGTCGGTTATATGTGTATAACTTAAAGAAACTTTTAATTTCATGTTAGTGTTTTGGTATTGACCATTCTCGAATAGCTTTAACTGTCTCAGGGTCAGCTGTTGCCATTACTGGATACAATATGGCCTAAATATCTAACTTGGCGTCGATTAAACATTTCTGTGGTATCAGTTTTAAATTAGCTACACGCAATGATAAAAATACGTCATCCAAATAAACCAAACATATTTGGCATGCTAGTACTCTTAAAACTGTGTTTACTACTACCCTCAAATGTAGCGAAAACACAATATATGCCACTAAAGGGCATAAATATAAAAGGAAAGACAGTTAACATTTCATTTCACGTATAGTTTCTCTGTATATTCGCTTATACATATTTTATTTTAAAAGGAGTCTTCGGAGCGACTAGCACATCTAAATTATAAAGTGCATAAAAGTAAATTGCCAAAGTTTCAAATTGATTAAGACTGGCTGCATAGGAATGAAGTTTAGGTGCGGTCAGTTGACTGTATGCCTACCAGATGCGGTCAGTTCATTCCATTCCTACTGCAATTTCCTGTTTAGTGGAGAGAACCAACAGAACCTGAAGATATAAGTTAATGTAGCGTATATTCTTAGACAGGAACAACTATAATTTTTGTTAATGTATTGAGCTGGCAATAGTCAATAAAAACTTTTAAAATAATCTTTTTTTACCAGAAATACAGATAAGATCTATGGACGATTTCATGGTTCGATGACCTCTTGTTTGTTCACATCTCCAAAAATTTCTTTGGCTTTGTCTCGTTTTGTTTACAAACATTGCAAACAATAATAAAAACGCAAGCATTTTTTATTATTGTTTGATTGACCGAGCATCTCGAGTATTGATGTTATGAGTCCTTATGTGTGTTTTGCTTTTATTCTTTTTATATCTGGCAAAATCTGTTGTGTTAATTATCTGACCACTTATAATTCTTTGTTGTAATGTAGTGGTAACAAATAAATATGATCTAGTATTTCGAGGCAATATATCTTATTGCAACTGTATCAAATAATAACGACTTTTTTTAATACTCAATAAGGCAATCAATGTACACGATATAAACTCCACCATAGGATGGTATGCTAACCGTAACGACGGAAGCTTTGAAGTTTTCTTAGAAGCAGACAATTTCCCTTTCATATCAATGCTACAATATATTACAAGTTTAATATAATAATTATCGAACATATGACTACTTTCGATCCTTATTTGCTAAAGGTAACGATAATGAATCATCAATATCAACACCAGAGGTGGCGGCAAACGCAAAAATAAATATTGATGATTAAAAGATAAAGAAAGCATTAAGGAAATTAAAAAAACAGAAAATCACCAGCAGACGATAGAATACCGAACGAACTACTTAAGTTTGGAATACCGGATCTGACAAAACAACTACTACAAAAAAATCCAAAAAATAATAGAACAAAACAGAATTCCTTAAGGGTGGAGATCAAACATCCCAATACCTCTCGTCAAAAAGTGAGACAAATCGAACCCGGAAAATTACACGGGAATTAATTTATTAAATAATACACTAA